AATATTATAACTACAAAACAAAATGTTTTTATTTACCTAGAAACCAAAAATATAGGTCACTCACTACACTGCTGCATATCTATGTATCTTGAGTAATATTTTTAAATACATATACATAAGGGAACACGACCCTTTGTGCTATCGAAAAAATGCTATCATTTTGTGTTTTTGTCTTAAGAAAATCTAACTTTAATGTAAAATATTTAAATATAAAACCAGTAAATATATGTTTATTATTTATTATTATTATATGTATATATGTTAATTGTGTCTGTTAATGACTGTCAAATGCAAATGTCTTGTACTCAGTATAGTATTAGCGGTAAAAGACGGGCAGAAAATCATCTGGACTACAACACACACACACACACACACACAGTGTAGCGATGGCAGCGCCTGTCCTTTTTCAAACTGCAAAATGAACATCGCATGAAAGGAGTGAACATTAAGGAAAGAGCAGGCGGCGAGTGGAGGTATAAAGTTTTGGAGCGTGTCCTGGGTGGGTATTTTTGGTGGGGGTGAAGTCATTGAGCAGAACCGGAGCTGAAGGCTGGATGTGCCACCGGAGGCCTGCAGATTTATGAGGCCTGTGCAGTTCCACCGCAAGCCACTGCAGGGGAAACAAAGAGAGAACCGGGCTCTGTGTGGCCAATTACACATCCAGGGATCCCGGGAGAGAGTGAGAGAGAGAGAGAGGGAAAGAGAACTGGAGAAGGGAGGAAGAGCGAGGAAAGTGCTCTGGACGACCACACAGGAAACGCATACCTGTGTGAACCGTCATCGCATCGCACCGGTTACCTCATGTGACCTTTCACCTGTTATTGTCAACCACCTTTAATCACTTAAGCTCAGCGTTTTAGGTTCAAAGGTATAGATTTCGACATATACTTTCCTCGTTTTCACTATTCTTTTTTATATTTTATGTTTATATGTTCATGTAATATGATTTTAATGTAAATAAATCTGTTAATCATTATCTGATGTGAAAATTTCCTCATGATCTGTTCCTTTTGTTGTAAGATTCTATTGATTCAGCCATAATGAATCATATCACTGACGTTACAAGTTCTCAATTCTTTTTTTTTTCAGATTTTTAAGATTAAGATAAGGTTTAAGGTTAAGATTTTTGAACAATTAGTTTCTTGTTCGCATCAGATTTGAATTTCTTATTGATTTCAGACAGTTGCATATGTTTTGGCAGATGTGTGCAGAAGAGTAAGTACAATTGTCTGCATTTTGCCCAATGAATAAATGCACATGGATGGCTGATCAAAGCTGATGAGTTGACTCTTTACAACTTCTAAACGTTCTTTCACTGTGTGAGCCATCACATGCAAAATCTGTTTTTTCACCATGGAAATATTTGTTATATACAAATTTCAAGTTTTTTTTGTTTGTTTTGTTTTATTGACTTTCTAACTGCTTTCTATACTGTACAAATAACCAATATTTTGCCTACTCTCTGAATCTGTATGTACACAAACAAAACATTGACGTTATTGTACATATAGAAAGCAGTTAGTCAACAAAAAAGTCAACAAAAAAAACAACAACATCTAAACATTTTGACCAGTGTGGCTCATGCGATGACAAAAACACTTTTTATTTTGGTGTCATTTGCCAATTTATTGAGATGGTCCTCACTACAGAACATGAAATCCACGGGGTGGGTGGATGGATGGATGGATGGATGGATTGATGGATGGAATGAAGGATGGAATGAATGGATGGATGGATGGATGGATGGAATGAATGGATAAATGGATGGATGGAATGAATGGATGGAATGAATGGATAAATGGATGGATGGATGGAATGAATGGATGGATGGATGGATTGATGGATGGGATGAAGGATGGAATGAATGGATAAATGGATGGATGGATGGATGGAATGGATGGAATGACTGGATGGATGGATGGATTGATGGATGGAATGAATGGATAAATGGATGGATGGAATGAATGGATGGATTGATGGAATGAATGGATGGATGGATGGATGGATGGATGGAATGAATGGATAATGGATGGATGGAATGAATGGATAAATGGATGGATGGAATGAATGGATGGAATGAATGGATAAATGGATGGAATGAATGGATGGATGGATGGATGGATTGATGGATGGGATGAAGGATGGAATGAATGGATAAATGGATGGATGGATGGATGGATGGAATGGATGAAATGACTGGATGGATGGGTGGATGGATGGATGGATGGATTGATGGATGGAATGAATGGATAAATGGATGGATGGAATGAATGGATGGATGGATGGATGGATGGATGGAATGAATGGATAAATGGATGGATGGAATGAATGGATAAATGGATGGATGGATGGATGGATGGAATGAATGGATGGATTGATGAAATGAATGGATGGATGGATGGAATAAATGGATGGATGGAATGAATGGATAAATGGATGGATGGATGGATGGATGGTTGTGGATTAGATAGATAGATGGATAGATGGATGGAGAGAATATCCTAGTCTTTTCCACCCCAGGATCCAGAACTGATTTGTAACAAAACGCCACAAAACCAGATCAAAGCCCTGCAGTGGCGAGAGGAGAGGAGCTTTCTCCAAACCAAAGCAAAGGCAAACACAGCATGATAACTCATGTACCACCTCTCAAGATGAGCCCCACATTAGTGGTTTGAGTGGGCACACGACTACTAAACCAACACACGACACAACCACACACAAGGAGTAAATCAACAGTTTTTACATAAAGCATTAGATCTAGATTTACATTTACTCATCTGGCAGTAACTGGGAAATTTCATAGTGATGTTATAGAAGAATAATTTTTGGTTCCCAAAAAAAATAAATAACCTGAAGTTCTTAAAAGAATTTTATTGAGTGGTTTTTCGCTGTAAATTATACAATGACTTGTTCTTTGTAAAAAAAAAAATAAATAAATAAATAAATGTATGGTTAGATTTATAACAGTAAACTTTTTTACCGTAGCATATTTACAGCCTTTTACTAATAAAAAAAGTTTATTAAAAATGAGTCTATAACCTAGATTTATAGACTCATTTTATGCTGAAAATGTTCTATAGCTACAATGAGAAATGTGTTATGGTTGTGTGATACTTAACAAGTTATTTACCCTTTTCCACTGATGAAGTATGTTTACAAGCCGTTTCATTCATAAAATGTGATTAAAATTAGAAATGAATTAAAACAAAAGCAAAATTGAATTAACTAAATCCATAAAGTGACGGGGATACCGAGAAATTTACGAGGCGCCTGATAGAAATCTTTAAGTAGCTTAAGAAACCTTGCAGTTGAGCTATAAGAACAAAACTGTTCACCTGCAATTAAAGGGATAGTTCACTTTGAAGTTAATTTTTGATATGTTTTAGCTTACCTCAAGGGCATCCAAGATGTAGGTGTCTTTGTTTCCACAGTATTTTCAATTTTGATATTTTTAGGTCAAACCGTTCTTGTCTGTCAGTCATATAATGCAGGTCTATGGTCACCACCTCAAAAAGCATGCACAGAGAAGTCCAAATTAAACATGATTTAATGACTCGTAAATGTAAGTACACATTGATGGCCTAAGACACGAAACGAGCGGTTTGTGTGAGAAAGATCACTTCCGGCACTTGCACAGACCGAAGCGCCCACGCCCTCATATCACTTGGACGTGGCTGTGGTTACAAGAGGTAAAAACGATATAAATACTGTTCGTTTTCTCACACAAACCGCTCGTTTGGTGTCTTAGGCCATCAATGTGTACTTATATTTACGAGTCATTAAATCATGTTTAATTTGGACTTCTCTGTGCATGCTCTTTGAGGTGGTGACCATAGACCTGCATTACAAGAACGGTTTGACCTAAAAATATCAAAATTGAAAATACTGTGGAAACAAACTACATCTTGGATGCCCTTGAGGTAAGCTAAAACATATCAAAAATTAATTTCAAAGTGAACTATCCCTTTAAAAGCTTACTATATCACCTGCTTATTTCTGTTCTCAGCATTAAACATAGTCGATTTCAGTGGTTCTCAACTGGACTTAAAGCCACAGACATCAACAACAAAAGACGCATGTTTTTCTCATGCCGTATCGGTTGATAAGCGATCATACACGCATGATGATATGGTTTGCATTACGCATTTAGATGCAGATCATACATCAAAACTGAGGCCTATTTTCAGGTCACAACCCACCAGTTGAGATCCACTCAAAATTAAAATCTAAATTCTGACTAAAACATCATGACAAAACTTTCAGAATGAACAAACTGCTCCTGGTTTCTACACAAAAAGGCACAAAAATCATCACAAAATATAGCCAGGCCTTCCTTTTCCTCTAAATTAAACCAGAGGATGATATACTCGGACACATTCCTGATATCCAACACAGCTATATTTTACACCTCAGCCCTTTTCTGTCCTGTCAGCCAATCACGTTTCATCATTTTTCCCTCCATTTCTGCGAAATCCTGCTTTCTGAGACACCGGATCAACCCAGATTTTTTTTTTTTTCAAAACTTTGGCAAAAGCAATCCGCTGGAAACGAGGAATAGAAAACCGGCTCCCAGCTCATTAACAGTCTCATTTTCAGTCATCCACAGACTCCCCTTCCCATCTCTCCATCTCTCCGTCCCGCCCTTCTTTTTTTATGGCCATTTTATTTCACTCCCATCGCTGTAAATCCAGCTCGCTCGCTGGGTGGAATTTTAAAAGCTGCACTTCTTTCTGCTTTCGCCCTCCCTTCCTCGCAGTCTTACCCTCATGTATACTTCTCATTTTATTGAAGTATGCAGGTTATAATTTTCATTTCCCACAAGAAAACAGCGCTCCGGTAAAATTATGAGACTTGCTGTTTTTGCAGGATTTTTTTTTTTTTACAGTGCTTTACTGCATATGCATATGTGCATATGGAAATAATAATCATGGTTATGGTTTTGACTCTACACAACATCAATAACAATGCTGAAGGAATAATGGAGTAGTATGGAGACGTACCCTGTAGGAATCAGACACGACGAAGCACTCTGGTATCCCAGGACCTCTGGACGGGTCTTCATTCACCAGGAACGGTTCGGTGGCCTGAAACATAATGATAACATAATTATATCAGTTATGTATCATAATACTGTTGCTGCTTTTTACACTTAACAGCTATTTTAGAGGGTTGTTGAGATGCTATGTTGTTCTTTCATAAAGTTCTTTATCCTATTATAAGGTCTTCAGATCAGTGGGTTGGTTTCTGGCTTCTTAAAACTCAAATCATATATAGTTTTATTTTATTTATTTAATTTAACAAGAAAAGCCCTTTGTGGAACTTAAAGACTTCAAAACTTTTTAACCGACTGACATTTGAACTCTTAAATAAATAATCACATAAATATTTTAAAACTCATATGTATATATTTAATTTTTAAAATTAATACAATAAATACATATACATAAATATAAAAAATATATATAAAATGTATATATTTCATTTTAAGCATTAAGATAAAATAATTGATTTAGGCTATAAATATTAAAAAAAAACATATATTTTCAAGATTTGTTATCACAAAATTTTTTCTTTTGTAAAATAAACTTAAATAATCTATTTAGTTCAGATAACTTATTATTTTAAGTTTCTGATGATTAAATCAATCTCCTTCATTGTATTAACTCACTTTTTCCAGTTCAATCAACTTACTAAATTTTTTAAGTTAAACCAACAATATTTTTTTGCAGTGTATAGGCTACATATACATTTATGTTTAAAGGCTGTGCAACGATTAATCCCATCCAAGATAAAAGTTTGTGTTTACATAATATATGTACTGTGTATAATTATTTTGTATATATAAATACACATGTATATATTTAAAAAAAATATTTATATTTATATATAATATAAATTATGTATAAATATACAGAGTAAATACATGCAAACATAAATATATACAGGCATATCTATTTATACAAAATAATTATACACAGTAAACACACACATATATTATGCAAACACAAACTTTTATTTTGGATGTGATTAATCGTTGCACAGCCCTAATATATTACATTAACAATAATAATATTTGGACTAGGGCTGGGCAACGATTAATCGCGATTAATCGCATCCAAAATAAAAGTTTGTGTTTACATAATATATGTACTGTGTATAATTATTTTGTATATATAAATACACATGTACATATTTAAAAAAAATATTTATATTTATATATAATATAAATTATGTATAAATATACAGAGTAAATACATGCAAACATAAATATATACAGGCATATCTATTTATACAAAATAATTATACACAGTAAACACACACATATATTATGCAAACACAAACTTTTATTTTGGATGTGATTAATCGTTGCACAGCCCTAATATATTACATTAACAATAATAATATTTGGACTAGGGCTGGGCAACGATTAATCGCGATTAATCGCATCCAAAATAAAAGTTTGTGTTTACATAATATATGTACTGTGTATAATTATTTTGTATATATAAATACACATGTATATATTTAAAAAAATATTTATATTTATATATAATATAAATTATGTATAAATATACAGAGTAAATACATGCAAACATAAATATATACAGGCATATCTATTTATACAAAATAATTATACACAGTAAACACACACATATATTATGCAAACACAAACTTTTATTTTGGATGTGATTAATCGTTGCACAGCCCTAATATATTACATTAACAATAATAATATTTGGACTAGGGCTGGGCAACGATTAATCGCGATTAATCGCATCCAAAATAAAAGTTTGTGTTTACATAATATGTGGGTGCACTGCGTATAATTATTTTGTATATATAAATACACACACATGCATGTATATATTTAAGAAAAATGTGTTCTAAATATATCAAATATTCATATTTATACATAATATTAATAATGTATAAATACAAAGTATATACATGCAAATATTTCTTAAATATATACATGCATGTGTCTGTATTTATATTTATATTTATATAAAATAATTATACACACTATCTACAAATATAATTTGTAAACACAAACTTTAATTTTGGATGTGATTAATCATTGCCCAGCCCTAATTTGGAAATTTAAAAAAAATGGAAATAAATAAATAATCACATAAATTTTAACTCATCATGTACCATTTTTATATTACATACAGTATATTTAGTTTTTTTTATGTATATAAACTATCATAAATATTACACATATTTAATTTTAAGCACATAAACATAAAATGTATTATTTCTCTCATTTTAAAATCACATTATACACATACACATATATGTAGCCTATATATCACATTTGAAGGTGGACTCTTATCACTTGAGCTAGTAAGATTGAAACAGCTAAGCCCCCTTCACACAGTGTGTTAGCATGTGCAAACACCACAGGTTATCGTCAGAAAGATTCGAATCTCGATTCTGAAAGTTTGTGACAGAACACATCTTGGCCCAACTTTCCGCCGCCCATGTGCAGCGTTGGACTCGTGCGCCTGTTACCAGCGGGTTTCATCTTAAACTCATTTCAGCTCTGCATGCTGTGCACAGTCAGAACACACTCTCCAAACTGGTTCCCGTTCACACCTCCTGACTTCCCAGTATATCCGTGACTTATTCAGCACAAACCCCTCACACAGCGACTCTTTCTCCCGACACGACCGCCAAGGTGTTTTTTTTTCTTCTCAGAGTGTCGTGTCCATTCATCCCAGTTCATTTGTATGCTGGGAGGTGCACCGACTGGATGTGCGGAACTGAATAAGCCCCCATTCCAACTTATCCATTAGTGGGACGATGTTGAATCACACAGCAAAGCCGGGGGCAAAAGCGAAGTCTGTTCACACGCCGGCATTACGGGGCAAGAGGTCAATACCAGTTGATTTGAAAGTAAAAGTGATTAAGTAGTAAACAAAAAGTAAGACTATTAGACTTCTATAATAAGACTTAACTGAGATCTGAAGTATTAGCTTTGTCTCCTAAGGAATCAAATAGATAGAAATGGGAGTCACACTGACGTAGTGAGAATAGCTCAGCTCAGACCATTTGATTTTGATGAGAAATGTTTACATTAGGAAATCTGAGTGTTGACTGCAGATTTTGGTGTCTGGGTGAATGAGAGCACAGCTCTAGACATTTGGTCTCATTCATTAAACATGAGCATGCTCAATTTTTGTGTGCAATCTGCATATAAATGTTTTCATGAACAAACCATGATTCATCAAGTTTATAAAAAAAAAGTAAGAACTGAAACTGACCACATACTTTGTTTGGCTTTATAATAATATATTTCATCACAAATATATGTATTAACGGTGAATGTGATTTCACAAAGTACAACATGTTCCTGGATTGACATCTTTGTTGATCCTGGAACAATATTCCAATCAACTGATCAGATTTGAGGGGCAGGTTTATATTATGTCAAGTTCATATCATTCTTGTTTTATGGATGAGTTATGGATAGGGTTAGGGTTAAGGGTAGGGTAGGGTTTGGACTATATTTTTGGGCAGGAATGTTGTTCCAGAATCAAGGAAATACGACTTATTGGGATGGATGGATGGATGGATGGATGGATGGATGTGTGGGTGGGTGGGTTTATAGATTGATGGATGGATGGATGGGTGGGTGGATGTATATATGTGTGGGTGGGTTTATGGATAAATGGATGGATGGATGGATGGATGGATGGATGAGAGAACAGATGGGTGGGTGGATGGATATATGTGTGGGTGGGTGGGTTTATGGATGGATGGATGGATGGATGGATGGGTAGATGGATGGATGAGGGAATGGATGGGTGGATGGATGGATGGATGGGTGGATGGATGGATGGATGGATGGATGGATGGATGGATGGATGGAATGAATGGATGGATGGATGGATGGATGGGTGGATGGATGGAATGAATGGATGGATGGATGGATGGGTGGATGTATATGTGTGGGTGGGTTTATGGATAAATGGATGGATGAGGGAATGGATGGATGGATGGATGAGAGAACAGATGGGTGGATGTATGGATGGATGGATATATGTGTGGGTGGGTTGGTTTATGGATAGATGGATTGATGGATATATGTGTGGGTGGGTGGGTTTATGGATGGATGGATGGATATATGTGTGGGTGGGTGGGTTTATGGATGGATGGATGGATGGATGGGTGGTGGATGGATGGATGGATGGATATATGTGTGGGTGGATTTATGGATGGATGGATGGATATATGTGTGGGTGGGTGGGTTTATGGATGGATGGATGGGTGGGTTTATGGATGGATGGATGGATATATGTGTGGGTGGGTGGATTTATGGATGGATGGATGGATGGATGGATGAGGGAATGGATGGGTGGATGAGGGAATGGATGGGTGGATGAGGGAATGGATGGGTGGATGGATGAAGGAACAGATGGGTGGATGGATGGATGGATGATGGATGGATGGATGGGTGGATGAGGGAATGGATGGGTGGATGGATGGATGGATGAGGGAATGGATGGATGGATGGATGGATGGGTGGATGGATGGGTGGGTAGGTGGGTGGATGAATGGATGGGTGGATGGATGGGTGGGTAGGTGGGTGGATGGATGGGTGTAGCCTGTACAGTATATACTGTAAATATTTAAAGTTAAAGTTATCTAATATTTCTAAAAAGCCGTCCCTTAACCTCTACCCAGACATGGAGAATTCCCGTTGTCCTCAAGAGAAAGACATATATACTGTATTTCAGAGCAAGCAAACTCTGCTGCACACATTCCCTGGATTAAACCTGTCTCTAAAACACACTCCTATAAAAATACATGCAGCACTAAAATAACAGACGCAAAGATGTGTGTGTGCGCACACGATACTATAATAGATCCCAGACACTGGCTAACCAAAATGTGGCTGCAACACCAGCTATTCATATCCACAGCAATGAAAGGTTGCATACGCTCGCTCTCTCTCTCTCTCTCTCTCTTCACAACACATAAGTCAAAGCGATTAACTAAACAAACTGAAGAACGAAAACTCAGCTGCTTGTTAAACTTTCAGAATGTGTAGAAACAGGCTCCTAATGTTTATAGTCTCCAAAAGAGGGTTTGGGATTTTCACTACTATATCATAATATATGAAAACATACTTTTTTATTCATGTCAAACGGCTTTTCTAAAAGTGATGGACAGAGAAACAACGAGACGGATGAGTCGCTCTCTTCCGCTCGGTTTGCCTTCACACTTTAAAGTAAGACGGCTTGTTTGAGTCTCCGCTGATTGTTTGATGTAGTTCCCTGTAGATCTGTCCTCTTTCTCCCTCGCTGTGGATGTTTATGGAGCGTGGAACTGCGTCAATTAAACATGCCACCCTTTTCTATATATACGCAGCATATGCCCGATCCATATGGCCAGCCCTAAGCGAACCGGTCCCCTAGGCCCGTCATAATTAACTCTTGAGTATCAACACAAACATATTTAGAGCCGAACGATTCAAAATGTCTGCTAATGTGCAATGATGGGCCTGTTTGCTCACAGGGGATCTCAAAACTGCCCTGATATGAAGCATCATACACATAATAGCAAATGGGAATAGTGTAGCAATCATAATAAAAGTGTGCGACATGTCTGTTTAAATGGCTGATTGTACCAGATTTGCTCCCGATTCTTTAGTGATGTTACAGACAGCTCTTGAAAATCAGAGTTTTATCTAGTTATCTAGAAAATCTAGTTGCTTTTTTTCTTTACATTTTGGTTTAAAACGTGACCTGGACATGTTTTGGCATATGCGAACTACAAACACCAACAACACCACAATTAATATAATGATATACAACTTTTTACATCCCAATTCATGTGTTCACAGATAAGAGAAACTGACATGCGACAGAACTTCTACACAACTGCTAGCGCTCTACAAACCCAGGTAACGCGGCAGACACATCAAAGCCCGGCGAGGGAGGGAGGGGATTTGTTTTTTAAAAGCGGTGAGAGGGGGAAATATATGAAAGCAGAAATGTATGCCGTGTGAACGCGTGCCAGGGCCACTTCAGGGAGAAATGCTGGGAAAATGTGATATTTCATACCTCCATCTCTAGAGGAGCCGCGAGAGCGAAATGAGCGAGGAACAGCAGTAATAATGAACCTGAGGAGGAGGGTGGGCTGTTAGATTGCTTATTGTTTGTTTTCGCCACTAAACATTGATTCTGTCTGCACGGTCGTGTCTGATTATGAGCTATTAAACAGGATGAATCATTATTTTACCACTTTAAAAATCTCAATACAAGATATTTTTAGTAAATGGCTCGTTAACGTTAAAGGAAGGGGAGTGACATTAAAAATAATTACATACACTTTTTCATGCCCACACAAAATCCTCTACCTTGATGCCGAGTGTTTTGATTGGTGGGTGCTCTGAGTTCCTCTTACAGTTATTCATGGATGTAGTAGAACAAACAGTGCAGAACAAGTTATACGACTACTCACAGTATGGTTAGAGTTAAGCCCCTGCTGGTAGATGTCGTAACTACACCATCTGGACACAAAAGGCATCTTTCTCCACGGATGTTCTTTCAAAACCAGCCCTGTATTTAAGAATCACAGCGGCGATTCTCCTTCTGTTGAATCTGCGCCACAGCAAAAAGACAATTAGGCCTATATCAGCGGCTTTTAAAAAAAAGTATTACATTCTAAAAATATTGGTTGTGATTGCGAGTTTGCTGTCTGCATTGAATGCAACGCAGACAGCAAACTAAAAACAACATAGTCATGACCAGTCTAAATTGTCAAACAACTCTTGCATAGGGCTGGGGTAAACGATTATTAACTAAACGATTAGTTTGGACGATTATTTTATCGATTAGTCGACTAATTGGACGCGAAGGTGCAAGTTGGAAAAATTGACGCGATGGATGCGCAAGACCGGGAAGACTCAATTTCGTTTGAGTGAGTGCGGCGCCACATCCGAATATCAACGAATTCAAGCCAAATCTGCCCGAGCTTGTATCGGCACCCAGTTTGCGCGTCTAAATTGCAAAAATTATTTTTTTGTAAAGGGTTTGTTTACTGTGTGTGATTCATTTAATGGAAAGCACATTCCCTTCTAGTTGTCTTCGTCCTCTATTCTGCAATGATTCGGTCTCCCACGTGTGTGTGGCAAACTGTACCGCGGGGAACGTGCAAAAAATAAATAAATAAATAAAGAAGTGTCGACTTAATATGACGTTGAAGCGTCAATGTCATCGACGCGCCGCTACAGCACTGCCACTACTCTTGCGAGCCGGTTCTTTTTAGTGATGGAAAAACAAAGCTCGAGCAGTTTAAGGGAGGCAGTCAGTAAGAGCTGTGTGAGTAAACTTCACTCCCCTGGTCTCAAGAGGCGCAACTGGGGACTGATGCTGGAGATGTGCGTTCTTTAGGCCGAGACACACCAAGCCGGTGGGCAATCTTTTGGGCAATGTCGAGACGTTTTAGAGCATTGGTTGGCATAGGTTTTTCTGTGTTTTCCACTCTGTTGGCTCTTATCAGACGCCGTTTTTAATCGGGTGCTGATTCAGAATGTTGAATTGGCGTTGGTGAGAGAGAGAGAGAGAGAGAGCTCTGATTGGCTGTTCTGTTTAGAGAACAAGTCAGTGCACGATATTGAAAGCAAAAGTGATGAAAGTGAGCAAAGAAGTCAAGAGTGGTCAGACAGAAGGCTGTTATAATTTTATGTCATTTTGAGCATTCGAATGCACAAATATTTGCATAATACATGAGATCATGTCAGAGAGATTGAAATTCAACAATGTAAGCAAGAGCTGTACTATATGCGGTCCTAGTTTCGGTTTCCCTTTTTGAATGACGAAAATAGTCTATTGATACCTGCTGATGTAGACCGATATTTACGCAGCTTTTTTTTCGTCGCCGCTAGTTCTTTGACATGTCCCATGCTTTTAATGCACCCGTCTCCCATCCCGGAAAGGCTGGTTTGAATCCCACTGGGAGTGCCTACTCGACCCGCTACACAAGTGTAGTCCGATTCTTGAACAAATGACTCGTATGAGCCAGTTCTTTTTAGTGATTCAAAAACATAAAGCGCAAGCAGTGTAGTCAAATTCTCATACAAATTACTCATATAAGCTGGTTATTTATAGTGATTCAAAAACGTAAAGTTTGACCAGTGTAGTTCGAGTTGCGAATAAATTACTCGTATGAACTGGTTCTTTTTAGTGATTCAAAAACGTAAAGTTTGACCAGTGTAGTTCGAGTTGCGAATAAATTACTCGTATGAACTGGTTCTTTTTAGTGATTCAAAAACGTAAAGTGTGACCAGTGCAGTTCGAGTTCTGAGCAAATGACTCATATGAACCAGTTCTTTTTAGTGATTCAAAAACGTAAAGTGTGACCAGTGTAGTTCGAGTTCCGAATAAATGACTCGCATGAGTCATTTCTTTTTAGTGATTCAAAAACGTAAAGTGTGACCAGTGTAGTTCGAGTTCTGAACAAATGACTCATATGTGATTCAAAGTTGCAAGTGCAACCAGTGAATTACTCTTAATTACCAAATTACTCTTCTGGTTCTTTTCTTGGTGAATGAAAAAATATAAGAGCAAGCAGTGTGGTCCCATGGAATTAAAAAAATGACAAATGTATTTGAAACTAACAAGCATGTTGTATTGCACTAATTGAAAAAAAAACATTTCATTTTCAGTGTTTGTATTTTAATGCATTGCATTTTCAAGGCGTGCATTCGATTGTTGAACAAATTACTTTTTTTTGCAGCCTAGATCAAAAAATAACGTGGGTTAGTGTAACTCCTCAATAAATGTCTCTTGTGAGTCTGTTCTTTTTCTGATGAGTTACTGATTTGATTAAGTCTGATGAATCCTTCACTGAACTGTCTCAGACCGGTTACTAAATTTGACTTGATTTTTGCATTAAGATGATTTGTAACCATTAGCTTTGTGCAGGTACTGACTTCTTAAAATGCTATTTGATGTCAGACTAATGTAGGGCTATATATATGCTACTAATCATTATGACTGGTTTTGCAGTTATGACAATGAAACCGATGGACATGACAACTTGCAGATAACCAGCGTTTCATTACCATCACATCATTGGCTTGCAATAGAAGAAAAAGCCAAAACCAACAGCCAATAATTCAGAGACATCTGTGTCAAATGACTTGGTCATAATGTTGATTGGTCATAAGATCAAGTCCAGTTGACAGGTGAACTAACACCACTTCACCAGAGGGGGCAGTAACACTTGGAACACATGCATGTTCATTTCCAAAACATTTCAATTTCAATTGTTATAATTGCTATACTAACATCAATATATCCACTCTCTCAATAAACAAATCAAACGCTGACTGCAAAATAAAGGATTTTAATGTCAAAGACGTACAGTATTCTGCTTCCAAGTTTGCAGTCAACATAAAAACCTTTTTGTTTAACAAACTATAGGATGCCTTGATTGCTATTGTAAAACTTATCTTCATTCGAACTGTCATCAAAGTATAACCCAGATGCATTTCTGTCGCTGTTTGATGGATTGAGCATCAATGCAAATAGCTGTCGACTATCTAGCGCCGTATCTTTGATTGTAGTTTGGAAGCTTAATTAAATAGTTTTTTTTTTTAAGAGAAGACGTGAATCCCATGTGGAGTCAGCTTTGAATAGATTCCCTCGTTTCTTTCTACACTGGCCTATTTGGGTTGGTGCCATTTAAGAGAGCGGGTAAACAAATAATTATCCACATTAATGTGCTGATATTCAGGCCCATCTGGAAATCATCAACAAGTCCAAGCCTATATTGCATCAGTCATGCAATCAAATATAATCCGGATTCCGAAGCCAGTCAAAGTGGAGGAGAACTGAAAACTATGTGTGCGGCGAGTTGAAAATAAAGAAGGCCGATGCATAAATTAGCTGAACGTTTAGACTCTGAAATGAGGACACCTGGGTAATGTGCTTTAGTTGATTGCCAATAGCTTGATGTCTCCTCAGATCGGCTTCTTGTGGCCTGTCTGGTGAGAAGTAAAAACCGAGCTATCTGAGGTTAGAGTCGAGCTAACACCGAACAGATGTCCTGAAGACCTGCAAATCCGGCCGATATGATATTTAACGGCGAGTTCCTTGTGTTTTTCGTTTTGAAAGAGCTGCACGTGTCAGGGATGCAAATGTCATCATGCCTGTCCTATAAATAAAAACCTAAAAACTCAAAGAAATGGCTGTGTGTGTGCAGACCTACCTCATTATTTAAAAGACATGCCACAAAAAGTCTCCAAATACTTTTAAGATTGATGGCTTTTGCTGTTATGTTGTATTTTAATTCAGTATTCTTGCATTTTCTGTATGCCGATACTGATTCTAGAGAGTGGGATGGCCAATACACACATAGGCCATGTGTCCACCAAAGCGTTTTTATCCAGCTGAAAACGCCAGACGCTCTGCTGAAGATGCCGTGCTTTGGGCGCTTGTTGAGAGCGTTTTGGCAGCGCAGCGTTTTTTTCCGTTGAGATGTTTCGTTGCTATGATACAGAATATCCGCAGCACAGTTTACTTGTAACTGATTTCCCAGATAATTTGTTTTATACTAAAAATTTCTTTTTCATCCATTTTGTTCGAAGAATGTTGTGACAGTTGGTCGGTGTGGTTTAGTCCCGCCCCTCCTCCACTGTGATTGGACGGCTGGGTAAAAAGTGACAGTGATGAGCGCTGCATTTTTATCCAAAGTTGAACATTTTTAAACTCTCGACGACCTGTAAAAAATGCTTAGCGCCCGGTGTTCTGACGATTTGTCACAGAAAACGTTGATTAATATTATATGAAATACAATTATAATAGAATTAAGTTATGAGTAGCTACTGTACTGTAGACTACTGTTTTTATATTTAAAACGTTGTGAAAGTAAAAATTATCATCAAATATTCATCTTTGACTTGTCAAAACACATCTCTCCTTAATAGCTGAAACTTTCAGTTATTCTTGTTACCGTAAAAATATTCATATGGTAGTTAGCATTTTTTAAAGGGAAATTACATTATAACTAGGGTTGGGTATCGAGAATCGAGTATCGATTGGAACCGAGACTAACTTTTCGTTTTTCCCGGAATCGTTCAAAAGTTAAAATTTCGATTCCTAGTTTCGATATTCACAGTCCACCGAGCGGAAGAAGAAACTGATGAACAACACCAACGAAGAAGCGTCTACCGGAAGTGTTGGCATAACCACGCGAGTCGAACATGAGTACCTTACGTCGGCGATCCAAAGTGTGGCTTCATTTTTCTAAAAATAACGAAATCTCGGCAAAATGCAAAATTTGTGACAAAAGGAGTATTTTTACAGAAGGAGTATTTCCTTCAGAAAGGATTATTTCCTTCAGAAAGGCCGTTGGTTAGCAAGGTTAGCTAAACTTTTTTGACCCTGCCTCTTAAAAGAATCGGAATCGAGAATCGTTAGGAACTGGAATCGAAACAAGGAATCGGAATCGGAATCGTTCAAATTCAAACGATACCCAACCCTAATTATAACACATGAAAATTGACCTTTTGTTAAAAAAATTGTCTGCACATGTGCATAACCAGTAGCAAATCTCGATGAAAGAACATCGAGAACAAAAAGACGCTCAGTGCCTCGTTACGTTCATGGCGTTTAAAAAATGAGGCACTCCCATTGAAAACAATTGAAAACATACACGCGTTGAAAAACGCTTTGGTGGACACACGGCTATATACAGTATATAGTGTTTTCGATACACACCAGCTGTGTGTTGGCCCTTACACGAGAACGCTCGCGGGTGAAAACGTAAAAATATTTTATCGGATGTGCCTTTCGTTTACACGGCGACGGCATTTTTGAGGCTTAAAAACGCAAAAAAGTGAAACTACCCTCCAGAGTGGAAATCTTAAAAACGCTCCACCGCCGCGTTCCCGTGTTAATGGTAAAAACGCCAAAGTCTGCTTGACAGTGAAGGTTGTACGCAGGCGCGCGAGCTTGGTGTTGTTGTAGTATGCACTCACAGCCAAATTGATTTTCATACGCTTTTGCGTCACCATTTGCACGCGGATTTCCCACACAAAACGCTCGTCTAAACACAGAATAAAAAGTGATGACGCAACGCCACTTTTGCGTTTTCTCTTCAGAATCGTTTCCGTGTAAACAGCGTCACTCTCTCTGCTCACCGACGGCGAATTGACACAAACCCGCCTCCTCTCAATCACTCGCCTCATTCTCTCTGGTTGAAAAGTGCTTATATTGCACATCATTTTAGTGTTTCTCACAGGTTTCGCGCACCGTCGATAAGTGCCGCTCTCAAAAAGCTCACAAGTTCCAAATTAACTTATTTTATATTGCGCTTAAATGTCATTCAAAATGAAGTCAAAATGCCCATCTTGTCAATAAAGGCTAGACATCTCGTCCACGCTGCTGGCCAATGGAGGTCGACGTCTGCACCTGGCGGCCATCTTGTCACAGGCAGCTGGCTCACATTTAACATTGTGTTTCAATGGTGCATGTACTTTTTAAATAACCATAAATTGCTCAAAATTCTACCGATTTTCAAATAGTTTGGTTAAACGTCAGAGATGTAGTTATGACTCTGCCGCATACTTATGAATAATAAATGTATAAATAAATAATCATCCAGAATTATAGCCACATTAATAACGTTTGTAAGAAACCAAACCGTTTGTAAATCCGTCAAGATTTCAACGAGATAAGAGTATTTGTGTCCGTGCTGATCACTCATCTTACATCAGCTTGCCTGTGACAAGATGGCCGCCGGTGATGACGATAGAAACTCCGCTGTAAGACATCTAGCCTTAATTATGGATATCTATAGTTAAAAGCGCAACTTGTGTAAAAGTATATTGGATCCGTGCATTAACTCTTAAAGTGACAGCAGCCTAATAAACCTACTGCTTTCTGAGGAAATCACTCGCTGCTCTTGACTCAATAACCTTTGTTGCTTAAATGGTAAGCATTAATCTGTATTTAATTTTTTACAATGAAAACTATCTACTGTTATTTTAAATTAATTTCTGTCGTATGTCTTACCTGAGTATTACTAGACCCACCTGACAAACTTAAAACACTGTTTATGTCATTTGTGTCTTTATCCTGTTGTATTTATTTGTGCTATTGTTTGCAGTTTGTTTACATGTTCTTATTTTATTACTGGTTGTACCCGTCTTTTTTTTTTTTGTAAATGTTGTTTATGATTCAAATAAAGCCTCCCCCTGATTTTTCAAAATATTGTATCAAACTTGGAAAGTCCAGTATCATGACAACACTAGAGCATATAAATAGACTATATCATTTAATTATAACAGCTGACATGACAATGCATATTTTTTTTCTGAAATTGTAAAAACAAATTGCACTTTAAATACTGAGCTGTAGATTTTCAAACTGACTCGTGCAAATCGGCCAAGTGGACACACACATACTTGTACTATATAAATATTTAAAGGTTTTAGTCTCTTCATATGCCAATATATAATGCAATAATTTAAGAAATGTCTCCTTATAACGTTTTTGAAGTAAAGGGGTCTTTAGACAATATCTAATATATGCTGATGAAGGTTCTAGTGCAGTTATCAGCCAAATATGGATTTATAGTCAATACATAACTCTTTTGCCAATTATTATTGTTACAATTATTCTTATTTAAAAGTTAGTGTGTTTACATATAAAATGACAACATGTGCAAGCAAAAGAAAAACAATTGCAATGCATGAATCAGTGCTAATCAAAATGCAATGCAACGACTATATGACACTCCACTATGCAGTCCTAAATAAAAGTTAGCATTCATGGACACGAAATAAGTTGCATCCAGCACTATTGTTCTATATTTAACCCCTCAGAGCTTTTGTTCTCTTTGACAGACGACATGTGGGCGGCGACTGTCGTCCCGTGACAAGCTTGCGCAGTGGAACAATTTCAGTAATGGCATGTTACATGTGCATGTGTCGCCTGTAATCCCAATAACACTGGAAAGCGTGTAAACTGGAGGCTCATTATCCTACACAACACTTCATTATCCACCGCCATATAAAAAGAGATGAATCCAGAACACCAGAGATGAGGAAAGTTGGAGTGCCACAGGGTCAAAGTTAAACTGATAATGCATTCTTCTATTCAGTTTACGCCCATATCGCACTTATTAGTTGCAGGAAAACATTCTGCACAGTTTCAAACTAACTTCCCAATCAACATGAACAACTTCAAGCATTTTCCATAAAAGAGCGTTATGCAGTACACACACACACACAGTGGCATTGTGTGCATCGAGGCGACCGAGAACTATTGCACATGTCGTTGTGCATCAAGAGTTTTTGCGCTAAAACTAAAACCGCCCAAAATTCATCTGGGACAGTTATTGCTAGGCATTTAATCAATCTAAACCCTTCTCTTCATGTTTACCAGCATGTTATAGCAGAAATAAAAAGAGCAAAGTTGATTTACACAGCACGTACCATTGTGGAGCGGGGAATATTGCCAACAGTCTCAAAGACCCATTTTACTCCTTTAGGAAGAAAAAAAAACTTTGCCCTGAAAAAAAGGGAGCGCGGTAGAAGACGAAAAGCAAATGAGTCGTCTTTCCCCGTTGATACCGGAAGCAGAAGAACCGGGTTGCGGGACGGGCCCGTGGATCGCGGAAAACGACCAACTTTTACGCACAGAAACTTTCGCAGGGATCAGCCGGCGCGTTTCTGTCTCTCAGCAGATACAAAGAAACGTGAAAGCGTCGGGGCCAGAGCGAGTTCAGCAACGCCGCTCCTCTGGTACGAATCCCCCCGGTTTGAGCGCGTCTCTCCGGTCCGGTGGCTTCAGTCGAGCTCGCGCCGTGCGTGCGCCACCGACAGCAACTTTCAGCCTGCGCAGTTTCAGCTCACGGACTCTGGGTGAATTGGTGCTCAGTCTCCATCCATCTCACTGGAGACCTGATCTCCATGACCTCCTCCTCCTCCTCAGTGCATGGATTACACGATCAATTATTATGGACAGGACGTCATTATGGGCAATATTGCGGATTCACACGCGACGCGCGAGAGGAATGTGGACTTTTATGTCGCCAAAACGAACGTTTCGAATAACTAATTAATGTATGTTAAGCAGCCTATGTGAGAGTGGTTGCCAAAATAATCGCGCTAGCCGTGCGTAGCCCGTGCGGGACGGTCGGGTTGATCTGTGGACGGATTCGTGCAGTGGCTGGTGAATTATTAATAACCGGGAGCGCTTCACAGTCTGTCGTGTTCACAGAGGAACCAGAACGGCAGCTGGGGGTTTAAGGGAATTAAATACGGGCTTGGAGAGATGCAGGAACGGCAGGGGATTATACCGTTCACCGGAGAGAGAAAGAGAGAGAGAGAGAGATGTGTGTATGTGTGTGTGTGTGTGTTTGAAGTGTGTAGAGTTTTTGTTAAACGGTGACGTCTCGAGCAATGCACGAATTAAGGTTTTGGTATATTTTTCTGTGTGATGCCATAAATCTGATTATTTTTATGTGAAGTCTATACAGTGGCGCAAAAATAAAATGTAAACCCTAATTCTGCAATTATGAAAGTGTCTAGCAGAAGTGAACAGGTGCTATATTTCAAATCTTCATGCAATCAACTAAACGATTTGCTGCCCTCTACGCATTTAAAAATATGGGTGTAAAAATGTATGTTTTATAGTCGAAGAACAAGGCAAATTCATTTTGTTATTGGAAAATTGCATGTGAAACAGATTCTAATTCCGAACTCAAATAACGAGGAGAAAAATTATATTGTTCAACGGTAATTTATAAAGGTGTAGTCGGGCCCCATTGTTGTCTAATTGAATTAATTCATAATATATGCCAGATGTCAGATGAAGGAAAACTCGTAAAGGCCATCTTATCCGAGGGTTAATTGTATTTTAATTAATTCAACATACCTGGGCTAAAACAGAACAAAGACCTCCAGACGACCTGAAGGAGACACGCGTTGACCTTCAGTGAAGCCTCGATGCACCTGCCAACTACATTAGCAAGCAAATTCCGTTTCCTTTTGTCAAAAGAAACAAATGATAAACAAAATAATAAAAACACAAACACAATTGAATTATATATTCAGATATATATTATTATCTTAGCAAAATCCATTTTTAAAAGTATTTTTAGCATTCATTATTTTATAGACTCACTAAGATTAGCTATTTATGTTTTGCTAGGCTAATTGTAATTTTCATACAATGAAACAAATGTATGTAAGTTTTTTTTTTTTGTAACTCAAAATAAGCCGGTAATCTATGATTGTGATATAAACAAAATAAACAATACAATATATAAATTAATAAACGGAAATCTTCCTCAATAATTCACATTAATAAATAATAAATCGGGGGAGCAGAAAAAAATCTCTTGTTCCTTATTTGAAATCGAACAGGCTCTATAAAGCATAATAGCAAAATATCTAACAAACAACTTTAGCCATTTTTTTTTTTTTTTTATTTATTTTTTTTTTTTTGCATATTTAAGCTACGAAATTTAAAATGACACTGAAAAAAATGCTGGGTTGTTTCAACCCAATTTTGGGTCAAATATGGACAAACCCAAATGTTGGGTTAAAATGTAATTTAAAGATGTAACCCAACGGCTGAGTTTGTCCATTTGACCCAGTGTTTTTTAGAGTGTAGTTTTCTTTCTTTCTAAACCCTCTCACCTGTTTTTAAACATTTCTGAAAACATGCCATAGCACATTTTTCATTAAGCCAATAGAAAATTAATTAACACCTAAATAATTATTCGTGAGTAGCTAATATTCGTTAGGGCGTTAAAAATGAAACCACCGTCAAAAACACAAATGTGCGTCATGAGATTTTTGAGCCGTATTTAAAACATCATTTGAATAAAATGATGACAGTATTTACAGTTCACAGTATTCTGAAATATAGATATAATAATACCAATATATAAAATAGACCTATATAGCACCTTAATTATATATTTGTGAATTCCAAATAGTGTTAAAATATAAATCAGTTTAAATCACATTAATAAGTAATTTCATATTTAACAGTCTAACTAATTACCTTGTGTAGCTATTATGAGCAATTATTGCTCTTTTAATTTATTGTATTAGTATATTCTTTAAGCCTATGACATACAAATATCAGCTCGGTGATTTAGTCTGTCCGAAACCACATCTCAGACAAACAGTAAAAAACAAAAACAAAACCACAAATGTGTTATAATTCAATTTAAACGAAATTACACTTAGTGTAAATATATGCCCGTGTTTTTATTATGCTCATGATTTCATTAATTAACGAAGAACATTTGGTCCGTGTGACATCATAGACTAGGCTACAGGAGAAAAATAGCCTAGAGTAAGTTCTGGATTGTGTAGAATTAAAATATTAGACTTAAACAATTTGCTATTACATCATTTTGAATAAAAAAATAATCTAATTTTAGACTGACCGCAATTGAAATGATTCACATCAGAACAGAGAATGAGAAATTTGTCTTGGATCTATCTTTTAAAATAAATCTGAACGCTAATACACGTGATTAAAAACAATAATTATTATTAACACTAAATAACATTTTTGACCGAAAGGATCAGAAGTAAATGTTGGACGGAAGAAAGAACACACTGATGATTTGTGCACGTGCGTTTAATACTGACTTCGGAAAAACGAACAAAAATATCTCACTAAACAAGTATTATGAATATAAACTGATACTATTATAAATTACACTATTATATTTGTCTCTATAAGCATCGAATACTTGATTTTTACCGCCACTGCAAATGTTCAATCAAAGAAAAAGAGAGGAAAGAAAGAAAAGGCGTTTCCTTTACACCCGAGCTGCAACAGCCAGATGATCACTACCTAAAGTATATAAATAAATAAAAAGATACAAATACATTTCCATTCAAATGTAAAAATTTTATTGAAATGATTGCTTAATTTGGGAAAAATAGCTGATATCCAATAGTAGATCCATATGATGTGACCTTTGCCAATTCTTTTCCCTTGCATTTGTAGTGATGCATTTTAGTAAATCAATCACTAATTTATCACTTTTCAAATATATAAACAATGCTGAGTTGTTTTAACCCAAATTTGGGTAAAATATGGACAATCCCAAATGTTGGGTTAAAAATTTAATTTAAAATTTTAACCCAACTTCAACTTTCACTATTTTTTAATTGCATTGTCCATAATTGACCCAAATTTGGGTTGAAACAACCCAGCAATTTTTAGAGTGTATGATTATCTTAAAGGACATTTGAGAGGGAAAAAAACAGCCACAGGGTGATGTAAAGTAAACTGCACCAAAACAGGCCAAACTTCAACACATTTTATATAAGAAACTGTGGTCCTTAACAAAGTGATGACATCATGAGACTAAATGCATCCCAAAAAAAAAAGTATAAGTGCACAAGCAAATCTCAGAAGTACACTGGCTTATTTTAAGACATGATGTGCACATATGATTAACCAAAGAGTCACAAAGTCGCTCATATAGAAAACGCCGTTTCATTTTTCCTTTCACCTCAAGCGGGAGGTCATTTATTTACCATCGTCCAGATTGAATTTAGGCTCTACTGCCGGTTCCTTGGCTTGGCTTTAATTTCTGACTGCCTGTCTTTAATTTAGCAGGGCTACTGAGAGCAAGCTCAGATTCAGCTAAGCAACGGCCGGGCCAGGAATGCTGACCTTGGCGAGTGAACCGGGCCAAAGGCTGAGGTAGTGCACAGCTATAATCACACATCAGGCAAAAGCAAAAGAACCATTCCAGCATTCAATATGTCTGGATTAACCATTAAACCTCCCGTCCAAACTGTATATTACTTGCATTACACTGCCCATGATACAGTGCATGATGAACACTTGCATGGCGAGCATCACTATTATTATTTTCACTTGATAGACAATAAATGTGGGTATGACTGTCACGGACTTTCACTGATTTGAGCCATTATTAGAGATAGGAATATCAGAGAACTAGTGCCGAATCACTCAAAACACCCTAGCAACCAACTAGAACACCCTAGCAACCATCATAAGAAACATGCTTTTTCTTCTAAAAATGTCAAAATCAATTCATCATCATCATCATGTAAAACGGACAATGCAATATTGTAATAATAATTTGGACTGTGTAAAAATAAATGATACATTATAAAAGCAGTTTAATGTTGCATCTATTTGTCGTATATGTAATATGACTCACAATACCTTTGCTTACAAGGGCAAATTCTCAGCCTAGGAAGTGTGGGAAGATCTATGTTTTTAGGGGTTGTTACTTGTGAGCTTGATCACATATTGGCAATAAAAAAGCAATTAATAAGCTACATGAAAATACTTTAATACTCAAATGAATAACCTTTATCAAATTTCCAGGCTTTGTCATAGTTGTGTAAATTATTGAGTGTTGAGTAGAAGCTAAAACAAATATAATTTGTGCATTCCCATTTGAATAAAAACGTCACGATAGCATTTCTTTCCAAAAGAGAGAAAAAATATATGGAGAGATTGATTGCCTTGAGAGGAAAGATGTCAAATTTGCCTCGTACTCCCATAAAACAAAACTCATGCAGCTAATTCTCTGAAATTGAATGCCAAAGTAATATAACACAAAGTATAGTGTTAAAAATGTACAATAAATTTGAAAAATCATAAAATCCAGTAAAAACTTGACTAGATTTTATGTTAATAATGGAAACGAAGTCTATGAAAAGGGTCCATAATTAATTTAGTTTTGAAATTTATTAAAATAAGTATTTTATAGGACACTGCAAGAGAAAAATGAATGACATACTGTAAAAAAAAAAAAGTGTTTTTCTTCCGTCAAATCAACTTAGATAATTTCTGTGGTTCAGAGAACATAATATTTTGAGTTTCTGATCATTAAATCAATCTCCTTTGTTGTATTAACTCAATTTTTTAATTTCAATGAACTTAAAGTTTTAAGTTAAGTCATTTTTTTTAAGTTAAACCAACAATATTTTTTTTTACAGTGATAACAGGCAATGATCAAATCAAATCAAACATGACAGAAAAGCGAATGTTCCAGCGGCCCAACAGACTGACGGCAGCAGAAACGAAATATCCGAAACGTTTTACCTTCAAACCTTTGTGAGCTCCGGGAAAACAATATTCCCTGGGACCTGTCCCTAATTTAAATGTTCAAAGTGCCTCTCATCTTAAAGGTGTATGTTTCAGTCCCCTGAAGACCGCACGGTTAATCTGGCAAAGGCTTGGGAAGACTTTGAAAAAGTGGAATGAAGATAAGACCAAACCATCTGACTATTGAAGTTAAAGCAATATTTGGGATTTTCCAAGTTTATCATCTAAAGAAAGCGACGTAACACGTGTTTGTAAAGTCATAATCTACCATATCAGCACATGTGTAGCCCCTCGGCCTGACCTGACCATGCATGCTCAGCGATGAGATCAACAACGGAGAGCTGCGCAGTGATTGGTCACCCGTGGCGAGGCTCCATCGGGATTGGAGCAGAGCTCAGCTCTCACACCTTATCAGGTCGGTGCACAGCATTGCTGCAGGAGAGCGAGTCTCAGGAGGAAACGCCTGCGAGCGCTCCGCTTATCACACACCGGCAAGAGGGAGAGAGAGCCCAACTCGACGTATGCTGTTTAGTAAACTTGCACATATCTGACTTCTTATGAGCTAATCGAAAACAACAAGAAATGCCGTGCATTGGCCTCAATATGCATATTAGTGCAGCAGGGTCAACAAAAAGTCAAGATCAAATCCATCAGATGGCTTGGCTGGGATGTCCAGCTCGTGTGTGTGTGTGTGTGTCTGGTCTGGATCCAGGCTGGTCCAAGGGGATGCCGAGCATTAAAGCCAGTGGATGCTGGGGGAAAGGGGTTGTCCTCCCCTGGAGGGAGTGAAAGAGGAGGCCTGCTATAATCTGCTTCTCTGGCTCTTCATGAAAG